GGCAAGGATAGCAAAAAAATATAAATAACATAATTTTATAAAAAATCTATCTGTGAATTATCTAGATTCTTAAGAGGTAAAGGTTTTAAAATCTGATCATTAATAGATAGGATCTCAATCCGTAAAATTATATATTTGTTAATATGAATTCCAGTTATGGATTAGAGATTCACAAAAGCCAAACCAACTGTGGAGTCGACTTTTTTTTTAAGTTTCGGTTTGCGCTTAATAATGATCTTAAATTTAAAAAAAATTATTTTCTATAATTGATATATTTTAAAATATCTGTAAAAAACAGGCAACATTATTTTTCCTTGTAGAATAAAATGATATTTCTATTACTTTAACTAATTTTAATAAGTCATTAGTTTTCTGGTCTCCAAATCCTGAACCCAAACTCGGTTCAGAGATTTTTCACTGAACCCAAATCTAGACCCATTTTTTTTAGTAGAATTCATATCTCTATTAAAAACAGCTGATGGATGTTATCTAAAATTATTTAACGTTGTAGGCGACAGGTTATAAAACTACTCTTTTTAATTAAAAAGCATCAAAAAGATACTTTCATTGCCTAACAAAATGAAAGAATTACCAAAATTTGGATGGCATAGGCTAGGAAGTTACAAAGAATATTAGTATTGATCAATATTGGAAAAAAATGGATATATTTCAAATAAAAAAAAACATTATAAATATTAAATTGTGTAAAATTTTATAAAATTGAGTTATTCAGTTGAATGTCAATAAATTTTAAGTGACATTAAAATATAGCATCATCAGTCATGGAGATAAAGGAGAAGGTGAGGTCTACACATCAGCCACTTAAATGTAGGAACCACTGCCTTTATAATATTATTGACATGAAGACTTGAAAATATTATAATTATTTTAAAAATTAATTATCATCTATATTTTGCAGGACCAAACCGAGGTTTACATGCCATCCCATATTTATCCGAGCTGGACCGGCCTGAAATTTTTTTTTAAAACCTGGGTCGGGTTGTATATTTTAAAACAAAATATTTTAAAGCACCAATATAAGCTATAAAAATTTTAAAGAAATTTAATATATTTTTAAAATCCACCCAGATCTCCATTATTTTGTTCAATAATATTATTCATATTTAAATTTACCATTTTTTTTGCAGGATATTATTTAAAATAAATAAAATTTATATGTAAATGTTTCTCAAAAATAATGTTATTACATACATGTTTATCCAAAACTGTTACCATGATAAAAATTTATACATATTGTTTTCCTTTTATTTCATCAATTGATGTATATAGAGGTAGTGTCACTAAGAGGTGTTGCAGGGGCTCAAGCCCTTTATATCCAAAAAAGGTCATTTAAATGTAAGCTAAAATAAGATCATAGAAATATGATCTCTAGAGATTGTAAAAGAGTAGTGATGCCCCTGGTATATATAAATAAAATTAATGTCTTCTATAAAAGAAAACAAATGTTAAAATCAGTATTTTTTTGTTTAATCACCAAAAAAGGAATGATATACTGTAAACCATATTGTAAAAATTCATCCACAATATCTTCATAAAAAGCTATTTCCATATGAAATTCTACTAAACGATAAAAAATATTAATAAACCCCCAAAAAATTTAAATTAAATAGGCTCTTTATTTGAATAAATATATTTTAAGAAAAGTATTTAACTGTAATACTTAAAAATTGGATCGTTTTATGCAATTTATGATGATAATAATGTGGATCACATATAGTAATTAAAAATTGATAGGCATTGTTTCATTCCATTGTAAATCAAGTGATGCTGTTTCAAGATTGACTAAATTTGTCTCCATATTTGGGATAAATAGAAGGGGTACAGAAATATCTTCAAATGGTAAAGATTTGTTTATCCAAAGTAACAAACGAGGATCTAGAGGTAAATGTTTATCCATAATATTAATAATTTTATCAGATGGAAAAGAAAAATGTGAAATCTTTTAAAGAAGGATGGGTAATGATATATGACATTAGTTTTGCTAAACCACGACCAATATTTTTGAAATAAAATAAGATTAAAACAAATTTATTTTAAATATATACAGATAAAAATATGTGGTTAAGTAAGATCTACTATATATCATACTCCAAGGATGGAACTACCTATAGAAAAAAACAAGATCATTCCTGGATTCGAATCCAGAATTATTGGATTGTGATAAACGCACGGAACGCTACTTGAAAGCGTAAAGTATTTTGTTTATAAAAATAAAATATAACGCAATTATATTTTAATAAACCACATAAAATCAATAACGTATAACGCTATACAAAATTATTTCCCAAAAGGTTTAAGCACGAATAATATGTACAAATTGATGCTGATATCTTTCAATAGTGTGTCAGGAATTTTATGTTATATTAGTTTTGAGATATTTATTTTTACCCAAAATTTTACATAATTTTTTATCTTCTCCATTTTTAAAAATAATGAAATTATTTTGTTTTCATGAATTTATTGAAATATCTTTCTTCATTTTTGACTTCACGTTTTATTCTTTTTATCACTCCTAAGAATAATTAAAATTGGTAAGCTCTCATCAAACCTCCCTTTGGAATATATTCAACAAATACAAAATACTGATTGTAATAATGGTTATGTATGATTAGTAACATAGTATTATCAGATGAACAATTAAGATTTGCCATTGGTAACCGGAAACATCATTCTGCAACATAAATGCCATTCTTAAATATAAACCATATACAAAAGATAAAATTTTTAGTTCTTTTGGTGAATAAAATAAATATTTTTACTTTCTTAAAAATAAAACAGAATAAAAATTATAAATATGTCACTGTTGAAAAAAATATTTATTATTTATTTCTACAATTAAAGGTTTGGTAATTATGAAAAGATTATATCACAGATTCATAATTTTGAGGGACTCTTCAAATTGTTCAGGGGTTTTGAGCACGTGCACCCACCCCCAACAGTAGTGACGTTACTGCACAATTCCTTATTATTATTATCATTTTATTATATAAGATTAAAACCCTTTTTTCATGCTACGATGTGCAATTCTTTTAATTATGCTAATTTAATTATATAATAATTAAGCATTTTAAATTTGTTTCAAAAATATAAAATTAAAGTTTGCCACACCACATCTCAGATATCCTATTATGTCATTGGTTATACTTATATCATGTCTATTTTAATGTAGCCTGTCAACTCAGTTTATTTCCACCATTATAAATTTAATTATAATAAGATAGGATATGGGAGATGTAGGAGAAATTAATAATGAACATATGGAAATGTTGCTACAATTTCAGGTAATCTCTTCTATTTTTGTAAATTTTATACAGATAATAGGATTTAACAGGAATTGATGACATAGCGAATTGCAGAGATATTCTTATAAGTCATGATTGGAACTTGAAGGTTTTGTGTTATTTCAATAATGTATTTAATTTAATAAAATTGTTTCATTAGGAAGCAGCAAACACGATATTTAATGATGGAGATTTAACTAGAGACCTAGAAACCCAAGCAATAAATAATCATTTTTCAACTTCTAATGAAAATTTTATAAACACTTCTGAAAATTATGATGCAAATATGATTCCTTATTCTTCCAATTATTCTATGCTAATTAATCAAATGTAAGTATATTTTTTTCATGTTAATAACCAGAGCTTCACACTATTGTGATTATTTATATTTTAGATTAAAATTAATGTAACTCTTTATAGGTATTATTTATTTTAATAACTTGTTATCTATGTGATATATGTTAAAGGGATAATGTAAGGTCCCCAGACCCAATTCAAAAGTAAGGCTCCAGGGTTTATGTATCCCAAAATTGACAAAAATAAGCATTTACCACTACATAATAATTCTTTGCTTTATTGTTTATTATATTATATATTAAATATTTTAAGTTCAAAGCTTGTTTTTAAACATGCTGCTGTTTTTAAAATATCTATTTCCCATTTTTCTAACTTGATACACAATTTTTTCAGATTTAAAGTTCAAACGGAATTAGCAAATATATTTATGGTAGATTTATGTTTTATAGAGGAAAAAAGGGCCACATACATAAAAAAAATTTTTGATAAACTTTGTTAAAGTTCCTATCAAAAATAATGGAATCAAATCATATTTCCTGCCTATATTAATATTTATTTTTAATCAGATGAATGAAATTATGATTATGAAATATTATTAAAAACCTTAATTTAAACCTAATAATCTTATAAATGGATAACCTTTGTAAGAATTTCATAATTCTTTATTTTTACATTATAAATGGCTTATATATTATTTATCATTGAGTATACCTAATTTTTGAGATATATTTTTTTTATATTTAGGCTATAGTCTAAAATACATATTTTTGTAAATTTTAAAAAGGTGTATGCTAGCACTATTAAATCAAATATTAAACAATAAGCAATTTATTTTGAATAAATATAATATATAAACAATTAATATATAGATAGATATAATTATTAGGAAAACAGAAATAATAAATATACATCTAAAAAATTTAAATAATTTACTTAAATTCGACATATGTTTAATATTATGAAAATAAGAATATTCATATATAATGACAAGAAGATTTTCTTTTTATTCTCCTTCCTACAACTTGGGACCCGAAAGATCATTATCAAAAAAAAGGAACAAAAGAAAACATCCTATATTATATTATCTTACAAAATAAAAGGGCTTTAAGGCCACAACACATTCTTAACATTTATATAAATTCTTTTCAAAATTATTAAAAATATTGAACAACTCTTTTTTGGGAGCATTTACATGCTTAAGACAATTACTCCCTATATACATAACTAAGGTCAAAATTATGTTCCATCTTTTATGCAAGGCAGGACAGATCTCAACCTTGGACTAGGCATGTTGCAATCAAACCATTATCGGGGATTGGTAGCCTTCAAGATAGGAAGGAAAATATATAGTTTTTTTTGTCTAAATTTAACGCAATCTATAATTAATTTCCCTTTTTTTCCCTCTACTAAATTTAAATATATAAGAAACGCTGCTTTATGCATTTATCTTCAATCATATTTTTTATAAACACGTGATGCAACATGTCGTGACTTTTAAAAAAAAAGCCATGGTTCTTTTATATGAAATCATGTTCTCGGTAAAAAATTATTTTAATCCAAAAAAAAGGGGGGGGAATATTATATATTAAATTAAAAGTTATTAATTAAAAAAATCTTCAATTAATGGCCATAAGATCTCATATTTATTTATTTTTTAAATATAAATTAAATTGAATAAAAGTAATATTAAAAATTTTCCCTTAGTTTTATGTGACTTACCAAAATTTTTATAATTGACAATACCATTATATTAGACCAAAATTTGTTATCAAATCAAATATAAGAAATAATTAAGCTGTTAATTCCTTTAAAAAAAAAACATTAATAAAAAAAAAATTTTGATTTAAAGAAAAATAAATATTATAAGGGCATAAATATGGATGGACATTCAGCTAAATTTACATTTATATCTAGAACATTCTCTGCCCTAAGAATAATTTTCCTTGGGGGGTCACTGGAAGTGGAGACATATTAAGTTAATAATTAATATTAGCGGACGAAGGGTGATCAGGGGGTTGGGGAGAAAAAAAACACTTACAGAATTTATAAAAATATTTATATAATAATTTTGAGATATATATCCAGGGATAATTTGTGATGTTTACAAATTATACAATGTTATGTTGTTTAATGTTAGATTATCTTTTAATTGCTTATTTTTTTTTTTGTAAAATGTGTGATTGATCGATATTTTTTTATTTAACGAGAGATGGTTTATAATTTACATTAAACTTTTACTTTTTTTTTTACCTTTAAAAATTGGAATTTTAATCGTATTTAAAATTGATTAAGAGACAAATCAGATTTTATTTTATTACCGCCAAGACTTAATCACTATACCTGAGTTTAATTCCCTAACAAACATATTTAAATTCCAATGGTTTTAATCCGAACCCTAGCTATAATCCCTTCAAATTGAATATATATTTATTCTGCTCTAGCTTCCGCCCTCCTTCTCTTCCTCGTAGATACGCTACACAACATATTTGGGAAAATTTGTAGCGATGTTGTCGATAAATGTATTGCGTAACTTTAGAGCCATTCTTAAGATGGTATGGTGCCTCGTTTAATATCTAGTTACATCCTAGTATGTATCGATAGATACTCGGTATCTGTATTGACAGATACTTTTAACTTCAACCGATACTAAAAATGATGGTTAACCGTCATAAATAAAGAAAGATAAGAAAAATAGATATGTATTTTTTTTTAAAGTATTTAATCACGTGTATATCTTAAAGATTCCGTCTTCTGAGACCTCTCGAAAGTCTGGATCACGACCCTAATACCGAAATCGTTGCTCGTCATGGTAGCGCTAACGGTGGATGGTTGGACTGGATATATCGGCTCTTCACGCTACCAATCAGATTTGTCTATTACTCTGTCATCGCCTTTTTCCAATTTTTCAGTAAATCTTGCATTAAAATATAATCGGATCGGCATTCATGAGTACCCTCACCTGCTAATACTTTTTATCTTTTTTTTAGCATCTATCCTTCCCGTAACACAAATCAGACGTCTGGCTCATGACCCGGAAGTTGAAATCGACATCTTCTTGCGGAAATACGAACAAGAGTACGGCTCCACCCACCCGACATTTTACAGGAGTTCCTATGGCAAAGTTATAATTCCTTTCTTCATTTTTATTTTCACTACCCCCCCCCCCCCTTAATTTCGTCCCATTTTAAAGGGAAGGTATTTAAATGGACGGAAAATTAGATTGACGTTTATAATTCGAGGTTTTTGTTTTCGATTTAGGAGTAATCCAAGATTAATAAATAGCCGGACCTAACGTTCATATCTCGTCTTCTTGGGATCATGTTAGCGTCAATATGTTATTTTTTTTCAACTTTAAATCATATTTTGAGCTCCTTTTTTTAAAAAAAATTTTAAAAAAATCTTATTTCACCGGAAATGCATGCCACCATGTTTGGAGTACCTCACCGGCTTACGAATTTCGGATAATTTTGTCGCGAAATTTTGAAACTCAATATAATTTGTATTAGATATTCCGTTGGTTTTTCATAATAAATTATAAATGGCTCAAAAGTTATCCGATTAAAATTATCCACAATCGATAAGATGGCTGTTCTAAACGTGCCGGAAATACATTTCCGGTAAATTCGAAATTTTAAAAATTTAAAAAAAACGCGCTCAAAAAAAAAGATTTAAAATTGAAAAAAAAAATAACACTTTGCCGGGTAAAAAGACACATTGACACGTTACCATATATCTTTCTCCTTTTAAATATGGAAAACGTGAGTTAATCATCATAATATTGTCTAAATAATGCCATAAAAAAAACAGAAGAAATTAAATGGAGTGGTAGGGGATATTTGTATATGTATATTTTTTCCTTCTTCTTCTCCGTTTATTGGCGATTTCCGGGTTTACCCAGGTTGGCCAGTCTTCCCTCCAATTTATCTTTTTCCATTTTTTGACGATCTTTGAAGTTTCATTTTTCTCATATCCACCGCTATTCACATTTATCCACGTCATCTCGGGACTTTCTCTAGGTCTTGATCATCTTACTCCCATCAAAGGTGCGCATCGCTTTACCTGGTCATCTTTTGTTCTACCTTCCACATGCCCAAACCATCATCTAAGTCTATTTGTTCTCATTGCCCACTCCAATCATTTTCTATTCCCTTGCTCGCAATTTTTTTTATTTTATTAGTTAATTTATTTTATAATCATATTCCAAAAAAAATTCCCATATTATCACTTCTCCGTTTAATGGCGATTTCCGGGCCTGCCTCGGGTTGTTTTCCCTCTGATTTAATCATTAGGAAATTTTGTTAGCAAGGGTTTTTATACGATCGGATGCCCTTCCCTGACATAAACTTCCTTTAGGTAGCTCTTACATCCCGTCGGGGAAACTGTGATCCCCTATTCTAGACCCAGACCACAGGGAACCCTTTTAGACCTCCATTAGCCGCCAACAGGCGTTGCCACTTCCCCCGCCACGATGAGGCAGAAGGTAGGAATTTGGCGGGATATTTGTATTATTTACATTTTTTAAATTAATAAACCTGAAAAGGCATTGAGGGACGCCAAATCATCCGCAAAATACCTCCTGGTATACCTCCACGATTTCGATTCGCAGCCTTGCCGCACTTTTTGTCGATCGGTCCTCAATTCCCAGCTATTTTTGAGCTATGTGCACCCTCGAGATTTTTCTTTGGATCCCTCCACGTCGAATAATTTGCCCGAAATATCGTCTCCTCGCAATACCTCGACGACCTTGCCACGCAAAAACGAGAGCGAATGGATCATCTGGGCTTGCGACCGAACCTCCGCTGAGGGTCGAAAGGTTTTGAGGGGAGCCCTGGGCGGCGGATACTCTAACCACTCAGATTTACGTGATATTTACTCCTCGCGGGAAGAGTATGCCGATTTAGGCTTATCGAATAACTCCATCTACAATCGCTTCTCTAACAGCTATAACTTAAACCCCGACTTAAACTCTTCTCGCAGCTTCCCCTACGTTGTAGCCCTGACGTTGACTGTATACCCTAACGATTTTCTCTTGGCTCAGACGACTTCGAACGGGCTTAAAATGTCGGTGGTGTTTAGGGTATCCGGGGAAAGCGACGTTAACGGTAGTAACTCTACTCTTCTAACAGATCCTTCAAAATTTATCGGAGAACTTAAGAAAGCTCTCAGCAGGAATTCCGATGGAGTTAGATTAGCCAGGGAGGAAAAGTTTTTAATTATATCTAATTTATTAAATCAAATTATACTTGTTATATTCTCTTTTGCTTTTGGCTTCTTATTCGATAATATCTTTCCCTTAAGATTTTTCTTTTTTAAATTTTTCCAATTTTTTGATAACATTTGAATGGAATTTTCCTTATTTTTAAAAAAATAACGATTTTCCTTTTTTTTTGATTGACACTTTTCCTCTTCTTTCGCATCTTTTTTGATTGATTGGCACATTTCCTTTTTTGATTGATACTATTCCTTTTTTATTAGACCTTTTCCTTTTTTTGATCGGACTTTATCCTAGTCCTTTGGGATTTTCCTTTTTTTTGATTGACACTTTTCCTTCCGACTTTTTTTGATTGGACCTTTTCCTTTTTTTGATCGGACTTTATCCTAGTCCTTTGGGATTTTTCTTTTTTTGAGCGATTTTTTCCTAAGCCTTTGGTACTTTTCCTTTTTTTTTTGATTGACACTTTTCCTTTTTTATTCTGATCTTTTCCTTTTTTTTGATTGGGACTTTTTCCCTTTTTGGGTGGGAAACCCTCTATAAAATGCTTCAAAACGATTTTAAACTATAAAAATGCGCTTTTCATTGAAACGAAACGTTTATATATAGCTCCATCTATATTGTTTTTATATATTAATTGAAATATGTTTTTTTGAGGGGGGCTTATAAACGTTACTTCGCACAAAAAACCCGATACCCCATTGGTGGTATCTGCGAACATTATTAATTTTTTTATAAAAAAAATTTTTTTTTTAATCCGTGAAAATCGAGGTCCAAGCGGGAAACGACGCTAACCCTGAGGAGGCAGCAGGACGAAGCTCTGGAGCAATCTCTCGAGACGGATCGGAAGAAGTCGGTGGCCAAGGAATTGGAGAGGAAAGCGATGCGGACGAAAACGATCAGGACAGAATTCGAAACTTGCAAGAAAGTTTTCGTCAAACAGGTGATTTCAAATATTCGGGTATATTCTCCCTTCCCCCCTCATTCCTTTAAAAACGTTTATTTTACGAATAGGATAACTTGATTATTCCTAGAGGAATTAGAAGGAAGAATTTTTTTTTCTTGTCAAGTTTTAAAAAACGGTGGGGATGAAGGTTTTGCCTTTCCCTTATGTAAAACCAAACCGCATTTCTATCGATTTTCCTTTGTTCCCCGTATATCCCTTTTCTAAAACTCTCAAATAACTTCGCGGCATGTTCGAGGAGTTTAATTTGCTTCTACAAGACCCGCTCTTGAAAGGATCACCTTTCCTATTTTGCGCACCCCGGATAATTACACCTCTTCGCCAATCCTCGGGATTGGTTCCTTATGTGACCTTTAGATTTACATAAATTCGTTAGCCAATCAATTCCCAAATCTTAAAATTAATTTTTAAATGATCTAAGTAAATAATTGTTGAAGGTGTCAATCGAAAAGATTTTTTTTTCGAAATTTTTTAGCCAGACCCTGTTTCTTATAGGATTTTCCCCGCGAATTAATTTAAAATAGAGAGCGCGTGTCTTAATGGTAATGGCGCGTCCCTCATTTACGAATAACACTAAATAATTCGGACACTGTAATCGTCAAAAGATATATGGTCAATGATTTTACTACCAATTCTTGCCTCTGGCAATGTGTCATATTTTTCAACTTAAAATCGTTTTTTGAGCGCGTTTTATTTTTTAAATTTAAAATTTTGATTTAGCCGGAAATGTGTTCCAGAATTAGTGACGTTAAATCACCTGACTTTGACCAGCTCCAATATGGCGTGGTCAATATTATACCCCTTAAAAAAATTGACTTAAATGTCTAAGTTTAGCCTCAACTTAATGATAGAGACTATTTTTTTTTAGAAATAAAAACTTGGCTCAGCCGTTTTACAGCTGGCCAAAGTTAGATGGGTTTAACAACACTATCCACCATATTTAGCCCTTCAATACTCCGGTGAAAAAAAATCAGAGTTAATACTCGGGTGGGGTTTAATGGACCCCAATTTCAAATGCATATATCTCCAGTTATATTCATTATTTAGATTTAATATTTGGATATAAGATAGAACTAACCTTAAACCCGATAAAATAATTATTTATTTTTATTTCTTAAGTTTAAATTAAAAATTATGAGGAGTAATATAATTTGTCCCCGAATTTTCTAAAAAAAAAGCTAACTTTTTTTAAAATTTAAAACATTAAATGAAAAAAAAATTAACTTATATATCATATAATCATGATAATTCATAACATGGATCTGTATTCTTCAATATAAAAAAAAATTACACTGATACATTCTAATATAAAAAAATATAGAACATACAAATTTACTCTGGTGGGGTCTCACAAACCACAATCAGTCACAAAATGCTTATATCTTAAAAACTACTCAACCGAAATGTATGAAATTTGGAATATAGATTTCTAAGATATATTTGATGAAGTTACTGAAAAAATCCAGATAATAATATTTAACTCTTTTTATGCAATATCATTTCTAGCATGTCTGGGGTTTCATATACCCCACCGGAGTATTGAAGGGTTAGAAATACCTGTCTTCGTAGATAATTTTACTGATAACTTTACGAGCCATTTATAATTTAATATGAAAAATTAATGGAAAAAACTAATATAAATTATATTAAGTTTCAAATAGTTAGGGTAGATATTCCAAACATGACGGCATACATTTCCGGTTTAATCATATTTTTAAAAACGTGCTTCAAAAAAGTGATATAAAGTTGAAAAATTAACACATTAGCGCTAACATATGCACACACACTATAATATAATTATTCAATTTAAATTGACCTTTTAAGTTTATAATATCAAAACAAATACGATATATATATATATATTATTCAAATATAGTCGGTTATTGATGAAACTATGAATATGCCGTGCCGTGGTATACGAATTTCGTGACGATTCTTAGATAGAACTATATAATACTAAAATATATATCACACACACTACAATATAATTATTCAATTTAAATTGACCTTTTAAGTTTATAATATCAAAACAAATACGATATATATATATAATATTCAAATATAGTCGGTTATTGATGAAACAATGAATATGCCGAGGTGTACTGCAATTTCGTGACGATTCTTAGATAGAACTATATAATACTAAAATAATATATATATATATGAACAGATCTATATATTTATATATTTTTTTTTTAATCTAGGCTATAGAAGAATTGAAAATGCGGTTATTGGACGAATTGCCTTCAGAACCCTCGGATCCCCAAAATTCGGTCAAAATCGTGGTCAAACTGCCGAGGGGAAAACGGCTGGAGAGGTCCTTCCGCTTGGATTCTCCTTTACAAGTATGGATCCCATTTTACCGCCATTCTTTTTATTCCAGTGCATGATATGATTTTTTTTCTTTATTCCTTCTTGGATATATTGTTTATATATTTTTTTTTCCCCATTTAAAGAATCTTTTCAATTTCGTCTTTTGTCATCCCGATTTTGACAACGCTACCGATCCTTCCAAGAGTTACAATCACTTTAACCTAGCCACCCATTACCCCAGGAAGATTCTGCCCTGCGATTTAACGCCATCTAATAAGGAATTCATTGTGTCCCGTGTTAAGGCCTTGCTTTTTAATCGCGATGTCAATTTCAGGGAACTGTTGACTTCCGATTCGGAGATCAGACCTCCTAATAACTTCCTGTCAACGTCATCCTTCGAATGGATTTTGCAAGACGGTAATAATACTGTTTCTCCTGTCGCCAAAACTATAAATTCTTCTACGGCATCCGAAAAAATCAACGACGATGAGCATGACAATGCTGGAGAACCCATTATAACTTTTAAAGACTTTGGATTGACCGAAACGACTGTTGTCTACGTGCAAGACTTGTGAGATCGCAGTCGAACTCTTCCATACTTCCGGTATCCAGTCTATCTATTTCCATGTGCGCAAAAAACGGAAACGGAAATAGAATTTATAGATATTTTGAGCTTCACATATACAAATATATATTATATATATAATCGAGTCATGTAATTATATTTATAAGAACGTAATTTATTATTATTTATCTATCTGGGGGGGGGGGGTTAGGATTGATGATTGTTTGTTATATTTATTTTATTTATATTTTTTTGTGGGAATATTTAATATTTTATTTTTTTTTAAAAAAAAATATGTATTATATATATTTACGACGACTATGCTTATAATATGCCAAACGTTGTTTTAGTATATCGTCGGTCTAGATGATGTAGTGCTCCACTTGCGTAAATGTTTAAAATGAGAAAAATCACTTAAGGTTTAAATATAAAATAATAGGAAAAAGTTATTGATCGATTTTTAACAATGACTTTGGGCAAAAAAATTATTATATTTTAATCTCGTTTTTATTTTTATAATATATTGGGAACAAATAAGTTATTATCCACTTCTAACTCAAAAAATTTTGAAGTCGTTTCTTTCTTCTTCCTTTCTTTCTTTCTATCTTTCTTTCTTTCTTTAGCACTCCAATTCTAGACCGACGATATTTATTTTTTTTTATATAATGGGCACCCCTATGCAAAAACGAAATTACACGTTTCGTAACAAATTCCTTAAATTCACGTTTACTATTCGTAGTAAGTTGTTATTCGATTCGTTTAAATGAATCGGACACGGTTAATTTAGGCTTCGTGCTCTTTTTTGATAGGCCCAACGAATGATTCAAATGGCGCCAAATTCGCGGGTTGAACCGAAAAGTTAATAAACATATGGTTTTACTCCTGTCAGTTTACTCAATGGAAAATCATAATATAACCTGTAAAATATATTTGTCAGCCACTTTTTTGCGATTAAAATTTTTGGATCAGGTTGATCTCTGGTATAATATATGGTTCGTACTAAAAAAAAATTAAGCGGCTGGGCTTTACTTGACTATTAAAGGTTGGCTAGAGTCAACTGGCGGAAATTGGTTTTTTTTTCGCCCCAGCCTGGCCTATAAAATAATTTTATATACAAATTTTCTTTGGCTTATAATATATTTTCTTATAAATTCAAAAAAAAAATGAATTTGCCTTACCTATAAGCTTTAAAAAAAAATTGTTCAAGCCCCCCCCACTCAAGATACTGTTTTTTTTTTAAAAAAACATATCTTTGTATCATAATAATTTTTATGAAAATGGTTAATGTAATCTAAAATTTAACTATGTACAATCATGGCTTCATTGATTGAGATATAATTTGAACCACGAGTTTGACTGAAGAATCTTTGCGCATTATTTATCCTTAGGCTGCATTCGTTCCGTCAAAAAGTCTATCTCATTAAAAATGTTATATTTTAAAAAATTATAAGTAACGTTATAAACGCTCTATAAAATTTGCCGGATCAAAAAGTCAAAATAATTTGACTTCAAAATTTGCCGGATCCTTTTTTTAAGACGGAAGGTATCGGAACGAACTTGACTTTTGACGGAACGGATGTGAAAAACGGATCCGTCTCCGCTTTGAATACAGCCTTAATCTTAATTTCGTTTCCGGCGTAAACGGGGAAATTCTTAAAATTTGCGAGCTTGTATGTATATATCATTTAAAGTTATCTAACTAATTAACCCATAAGCATTCTCCAATGACATACAATAATACCTAGAGTGACGGTGCATATAATAATGCATTTTATGCAAATCAGCTGGAGCCGCCATTTTGGTAACCCATATAGTTATTATTCTCATGTCAAAATCTACTATTAAATTGAAGACTTGCTTCCTTATAAACTCGATGATCGGACAATTCTTTAATAAAATTTGTCGAACATACCAATAAATTGGCCTCTAGTTTACAATTTTTAAAAATGATTCGAGTAACCAAAATGACGTCCCCAGCTGTTTTCATTGATGTAAACTTTTAATGAATGCTATTTTTATATGTCATTGGCATTCTCCCCCCAAAACAATTGAAATATGTTATTAAAATTATATTTTTTTAAGATGACAAATTTTAAACCAAAATTATTTCTAAAAAAAAATACCAATACGGGCCAAAATTTTAAACTCTAAATGCTACTTCAAACAAAAAATTGTAGCATTTTATAATCTTCCAATCATACATAAAGCTAAGGAACGAAATGGCTTGTGGTTTAAATTCACTGTTAAACCCGTTGAGTACAAATATAAAAATTGATATGGTTTGTTAGTAGAATTTTTGAGTTTTCTAACTTAAAAAGGGTAGAGTTTTTTTTTATTTATAAGTTGTTTGAAAAAAAGTTCACATTTAATCTCTGGGAACCCTGCTTAATAAAAATATTAAGATCACAATTTTAGTAGTATATTTCATAGTTTTTCGAAACTGTGTTAAAGATTATTCTAGTTCTGAATATAAAGTTTTTCGATTCTTAAAATTTAGCTCGGTTCCGGTTATCGTGGCCCCCTCTAACATGGGAAGATCAAGGGTCACAAAATAATTTCGTCATTAAAATCTCATTGGTGATTACCATATTAGTAACATGTATATTCCAATATCCATTAATATATTCTTAGGCTTGGGTAGTCTAAAGAGTACTGCAGGTTACAAAATGAGACTACTATAAGCCAGCAATGAAGGATTTTAACACATAAACAATGTACATATAGATTAGTTCCTCTTTTCTTAGAACCTCTTCATGAAATTTTCTGGATCTTAGAAATTCAAATAGCTTTTTTTAAACTAGCATATTTTGATTAAATAGAATATAAAGGTAAGGATTGCTGTTCTAAAGATACCTCATGAGAAAGTAACAGCTTTGTTGGTTAATTTATTTTTTATTAATAAGAAAAATTACCATAAGGCATAAAATTTTTTGAATATGAAATGCAACAAATTAATGATAAATCAACAACAAAAATTGTATAACATTATGTTTTTTTTTAAAAAAAGCAATATTTTAAATTACATTTAACCAATTCTTAAGAGTTTATAAAATTCATTCCTTTTGCTCTATGGCCTCCAGAGCTATCATTTCTAACTCTTTCAACTCCAGTTCCTTTTTGATATTGCTTGTCGCCCCTGATTCACCCGTGCATGTCAATATGTCATATTTCCCAAATATTTCTTTTATCTTCGTCTCCGAGAAGTTGAAAAGATGTCCGAAATTGAGAAACTCTTCGCAGGATATGGTTCCGCTCCCGTCTTGATCCAATAATTTGAAGATCAGTTTGGAATGTCGGTGCACAAAAATCTTGTCCATGCCATCTTTAATGGCTACCAATATACATGTCAGTACGAAAAACGCGTCGAAATAGACCCTACCGCATAGCTTGGTATCGAACAAGTAAAATATGCGTTTGATTTGGCTATTGTTGAGGTTGGTCGCCTCGCGGAGAAATGTTTTAAACTGGATATCATCCCAAGCTACTTCGTCTTCGATAGCACTTTCACCGTCGACCTGGGTTTCACCGTGTTGCTGGTTCGTGACTTCTTGAGACCCTATGTCTGCTGAATTTCTTAGAAATGGTATTTTGCTCGTAACATGTTCCCGAAATATTTTCAACAGAGATTCGTAAGCCAAAACGATATTGTAGAATGGGTTGTTCATGTTTATCGCGTTAGTATCTTTACGCTTTCTGTGAGAGTAATCGTTACCGACATCTAACACCGTTTGATACACGTGTTTGACAATTTTGTAAGACGCGTAATCAAATAAGCAGGTGTCCTGGTCCAAGTGAATATCGTTTAACGCTTTAAGCTTGATCACGAGAGTATTCGATGTATCCATAATGAAATTTTTAATTATTATAATTTAAAATAGAATGTAATAATAATGCTATTTTTTAGCTGATAAAATAGTTCAAATATTTTTCTGGTCTGTAATTGATGAGAGCTATTTCTAACGATATCCTCAATATGAATAGGCAAATATTCCCCGCGATGTCGAAATAACACAACGAGAGTACGATCTGCCTTCTGTGAAAGTTTTCGCTTTGCACCAAGTATATGTACCCGATTAATCCCCAAAATAATGATACCAAATGTAAAATCTACAAAATCACAAAAAAATTTATATATATATATATATCAATTTTATTGAAGGAAGCAATACAATAAAAAAAAATTAAGCGCTTTTATTTTTTAGTAACTCCATCTAATTCCTTTTCTGTAGGGATTAGTTGGAAAAACCAGAATATTCTTTAGTGATTTTATTCTAAGGTATTACTAAGAATATAATGATGTCGCAAATATGTTTAGCATCTCTTGGTCAATAAAAAAATCAATCATACAATTTACAAAAAATAGACAATTTAACGATAATCTAATATTATCAGTACAACATTTGTAAATTGTAAAGATTAATTACAATTCCATTTTTTTTATTCCCCCTCTTTTCGTGTTCCTACCAATATATTTAGTATTTTGTTGTTTATCTTTTTTTTTCCGGATGTTGGAGAAAGAAGAAAATATTTTCCTATAAAATTTTTTTAAAAAAAATATCTGGTCCCATTCTCACACTACTATGCCCCTAACCCTAAAGGGTGGGAGATACATTCTAATACTAGTGTGGTGTCAGCGCAAACTCGAAAAGGACCAATCAAGTATCAATGTTCATAAATATCCCTTTGGAGAACAACTTGATGGCATCTATGAATGGCTGCACCAGTCCTATAAGACTTTATTTAGTCCTTTTCGAGTTTGTGCTGACTGTTTTATATATCTGTCTAATAACACCCCCCCCCCCCTCCCACTTATTCCTCCAAAAATTTTTTTAAAAGTCAATCCTCTTTTATTGAGTGTTGCGTTCAGAAAGGAATTAGCCAAGATCTTATTCTACGAAATAGGTATCGCTTCAAAGTTGAAGCTCAACCTACTCTATAGGTTTTGTATAAGCCCAATAAACTAATGTAGGGTGGCCAAAGTCTGTTATGACTTTTAAGCTTTAATTACATCATGTTTTAAAAATTAATTTAGTATATAGATTCTTCCATTGATCCCCCCTATAAATTCCATTTATTACGAATCCAAAAATACCGACTTCTCAAATTTAAAACCCATCCCATTTGATCACGTTAGATGAGTAACAAAATTTAATTTTAAAAAAAACTCTCTAAGAGATTTCTGATAGA